AAAATTAGAGCAAGAAAAGAGGTGATTAGATAAAAAAAAAAAGGGGCATTTTAGTTCATCTGGCTGGACTTATGCATCTGAGATCATTGAATGAGAAGAGAGCTGAAGAAATTACTACATTATTAAAAGATTCAGGTGTTGAAAAAAGCCTCTAGTGGCTTTATATACTCTCACTTATTAATTGTGATGACACTATGGTTAAATACTTTGCAGGTATGATGAATCTGACAGGACACAATAGTATTTCAGACAGTCACATTACTTCGTATACGAGAGTCTTGAAATATGCACAACCAGAGAGTGTCTTGATCACAGTTAGGAGCAGGCCAGAAGATGTTCCCCTGCAAGAGGCTTTCATGAATCTTCAAGAGTCCTGGGAGGTAAAGGTGTGTCTTGAAGAAGACTTTACGAATCCTACAAGCATAAATAGTGACGTTGATAAATCTCTACAGGAAATGTTTCAGAGGTAAGATCATACCTACACCTGTTTTAAAGTATGTTCAATATTCTGACACTAAAGACAAAAGTGGAAGTACATGCCAATAATGTTTACAAATGTAGGAGATGTATCAAGAATGAATAACTACAGATAAAAGATACAAATGAAAAGATTTAGAAAATGCATTAGTATTTTATCTAATGTAATTCTGATTGTTGTACAGAAATAGAATATCTCACATCTTATTTTGTGGTTATCTGTTTTCATTTGTTTCTTTTCTACATTTGTAGCAGTTTTGACGTTTGATTTTTATGATTGTGAGCCAAGACTTTTCAAATGCATGCCCTTTTTTCATTGCAATAGGAAATGTTGAAAATAGTGTAGGCAGATGATATAGTTTATGAATACAGGTGTAGGTAAATGTCTGCTTTATTTTGTTTAAATATTTATCTATTTTTTGTTTATATCACTTTTTTGTTAAACATCTGAAATATTTTTTCAAACCAAACATCTTGAAATTCTAAAAACTTTTTTGATGTTAGTTTTACGAGAATTACATGCACCAGTGTGTAGAGCAGTGGTTCCCAAACTTTTTCTGGTCATTACCCACTTTTCATACAGGATATTTGACCGTGGCCACCACTAGGCATAACCCATGAATACAGTGACCTACACTCATTAGCTCCATTTATAAAGCACTCCAGCAATTCTTGTAATTTTATTGATTCTATGGGAACCACTGGTGCAGAGTGAGACCTCACAAGAAACAAAATGAATACACACATTGATTTTGTGAAGAAGAAAAAAATTAATCTAAAAATAATAGTAGATTGCTTATCCCACAAGGATAATGTCTTCATGTCAGGCATTGTCAAGCCTGGTCAAAGTTGTGTGTGTTGGATATTTGTGCAATGTTTGGTCCCGCTGTTATTGATAGGGAAACAACCCCTCCTTGTAGCTTCAGAACCCAAATGGTCACCTTTACCACAGGCCACAGCATAGAGAGCAGGGTGATTCTATGTTCCCTCTGCTCCTGATTTTTCCTGTGAGGACTGACTGCACACACAGCCCAATATGTGGTTTGATATGGTGCTGGGGCTCCTTTCGTGAGTGGGTTCATGGGGTGAACTCCGCAAAATTCAGGAAAATATCTCAAGGTTAATAGGAGAAACTTAATGACAAGAAATAAAGAAGAAAAAAGACAATGTATTACAAACTTTTCGAGTTTTGACATTTTCAGCCAATTTGAAGGCAGATCTTCCCAGGAACATGATTGATGGTATGCTTTGTATTATGAAAGAGACAATTTCTCAAATGTTTATATACATCTGTTATTATTATAAATGTTAACTATTTACCTTTTTGTAGAGGCAGAGTCACAGGTTTTTTGTGGATACTGAGTGATGCTGCTGCAGTTCTTCTTCCAAGCCATATACATATCTTAGTCTGACCGTG